CATGAATCTTAATGCAACATTCAAATTAAAAGTTGAACTTATGTCAAATTAACTCCTTAACCAGACGATTCTAATGAAAGTAAAAATAATTTAATTTGAGTTTAAATAAGCTCAAGTTAAAAACTTAAAGTTTAAATTTTAAGAAAATTAATGAAATGATTAAACGTTCTTCAAATATTTCATACTTTTACTATCAAGCATCTAAATGAAAAATTCAGTGGGCTAAAAATCTAAAGAACTCAGGGAATTGACTTGAACATTTCAAATAGATTATTTGAAAATAGTATTTAGATTTATCAAAGTAATAATCATGAAAAGTATAAATATGCTCTCATTCGCATTTTGATTTGAGATTAGAAAAAAGATTTGAAAATCTAAAGAGTTCAAGAGCTCAACTCAATCAAACTAACGATCACAGTCATCAAATATTGCCGCACAACCTTCATCAAATGATCATTTCTTCATCAATCATAGCCTACTCACTATCGCCCAAACGTTATTGCTACTGTTATCTTTACTCAGATCATCATACTCCTTTTGTTATTTCCCAATCATTTTTAACTAACTATCATCGTATAATCATCATCACTCTACTATACATGTTTCGTTGCCCAGCTATGATTATTTGTCCGCGATTACTCAATCATCATTGGTCCACCATCAAACAGCCATTATCATGAGCTCTTCATATCTCTCCTACATTCTTAGCCACAGAGATGGAGTTTGTGTACAATATATGCAATGTTGTCTTCTTTGTTCAAGAGAAACAATAAACTTCGATAATTCTTATCAAGCTCTTTGATCTGTCCATTTTTCAATTTTTAATAGAATTTTTTTAATATCTTCCTATATTTTATTTTTTCCTGGGCTTTTAAAATTTCATATAAAATTAAAATATTAATCGCTTATTAAATTTCAGTGATAATTCTAATACTCAATATAATTAGGGATGTCAAAAAAAGCTCGTTGTTCGCGAACACTTATTGTTCGGTTCGTTAATGAGTTCATATTCGATTCGTTCGAGACGAACGTGAACAAATTTTTTCCGTTCGGTCAGTTAAAAGAACCAAACACGAACAGTGATGCGTTCGTTCGTGTTCGAATCGTTATTGTTCGAAATATAAAATATATATATATATATATATATAAATTAAATTTTATAAATTATAATATAATAAATTAATAATAATATATTAATATACTATATTAGTAATATACTAATATAGATATTATATATTAGGGTTGTCAAACTAACTCGTCGTTCGCGAACAACTCGTGTTTGGCTCGTCCGTTAAGAAATGAACACGAACAGTGACTTCACGAATAATTTTGAACACAAGTTTATTTAAAACAAACTAAATTTCAAATGAACCGAACACGAACCGAACAATTTTGTCAAAGTTTATTTGTTCATGTTATATTAGTTAACACCTCAAAGTATAATATTGTTAATATTTGTTTACTGAAAAAATAAATTTATTTACAAATATAAATAAAAAATTGTTTACAAATATAGCATGTGTACTGGTCCGTTGGGTTTGATGTGATGGGAAGCATAGGGGGAGTGTTATATCTGTTCAAGATCACATTTAATACTGTGATTTTTATCTCATTTTTATTCCTAAAGCAGAAAGTCTCACGCCGACGCCAATTAAAATATTATAATTTCACAAAATTTTTAAAAGGCCGAAGATAAAAGACTGCTTCGAATTTATAGGTGTGAGATATGTCAATGCATAATAATTAGGTGTTTCGTATGTAAATTTCCTAAAAATAAATTGGTACGAGTAAAAAACAAGCAAATCAAATAATTGAAATGTGTATTTGTTGAGAGTCAAATGATTCATATACTATGAATATTTATAAATTATAAGATAATTAAAATGCTTGAATATTGAATGGATAATATGTGACCAAATAAAATAAGTTGGGTCGTCCAGATTGAATATTTTTGAGATTTTAATTAAAATGATAAAAATTACACATTGAACAATAGATCCAACTGTTTACATGAAAGAGATATGAATTTTAAATTGAAGAGAGCTTGGAGTTTCGAAAATATTTGGTCGCCAACATTCGAACATTAGTGATAACCGTGTTTTATGGAAAATATATTTCATCTGAATGTCCGCACTTCCGGATTGCCAACCATCGGTGGCCGCTTCGCCCGCCGATGACAAGTATGGCAATGTGATCGTCAGTGAATAGCCGCTCGAACTTGCGGTATCCGGACAAAATATTTTCTTCATTTTATGACATCTATCATATAACAAATATCATTTAGTTATTATCTCTAATCATTATTGATCAATCTTTGCTTTAAAACTTCATCAGCCATCTATTATCATTTGATTGTCATTATCATCCCCTACTTTAATGACAGAAATGGAGCTAAGTAGTATGCTCCCAACTTTAAAATTCGGTATTTTTAAATTATGAAAAGAAGTTTACTAGGTGTGTTTTTCTTCTTTTTTTTTTTTAATTTTTGGGGGCTTTGAATAAATTTTTTTATGGTATATATTATTTATTTATTTATTATTATTTATATATATTGCATATGAGTGGTTTTTTGTGTGAAGTTAGAACCAAAGCTTTTTTAAATTGCTGTAAAATTTTCGGCGCATATGAAATTAATACTTTTTCATATATCTATATTTATAAATCATAGAATTATAAAGGAAAAGTAAATTGAATTCTTTTATGTAAGTTATATTCACACAAGGAGTAATACATGACCTAGCTAGATATTTAAAATATTTTCTAGGGGTACTTGCCCTCTCATGCTCTTCCTTAAATGGACCTTAACATGATTGGATTGTCTTTTGTGAACACATCTTGAGAGTTAAAAGTTGAGTGAAGGAAAGAAGAAGGTGAATCAAGAATTAGTGTAGAGGGAAGCGTGGGTGTTCTAATGATCTGCCTCATTTTGGTTGTTATTTTGTCTCTTATTTGTAAGAATTTATATAGTTCAATTACAGAAATGATGGAACAGTTATGAAAATAATTATTAATATGATTAAAACTCTAATAGATTGTATACATTTTATTTCATATATGTATTACAATTTGAATTTTATATGATAGTAATTGGTTGTTCGATTTGCTAGAATGCGATCGAATGAAGAGATCGATTGGGTGATGATCGTGCCTTGTGTTTGGTCGACTGAGGCGTTCTGTTGAACGAAGATCTTGTCAGCCCCGACATGAGCAGGTCGGCTGTCCAATCACAATCAGAGGGTTTCAGCATGCGCTTCTGTCAGTTGATTGGTTGTCTGATGAGTCAATTTATTTTTGTCGGGTCAACAATGACTCACTTGCCACTTTGGTTCCATTATTACGAGCCTACGTCTCATCTATCTGGTTGATTCATCGCCTCAGCTGGAAATCCTATTTGCAAGGTCTTATGCAGATCTTGTCGCTGCTTGTGTGAGGTATCCAATGAGACTTACGTCTACAACCAATTACGTCTTGCCCTTGACAGATCTAATTGCTGTCAAGCGAGCGACCCTCTCTAGAGCTTTGACCTGTCTCAAATTTAGAGGCACAGCTTCACATGCTTGGCGGTGACTTGTTGGTCGCCTGTTTTATCTTAGGGGAAGCTTTTTGTTTTTGGGCATTTATTCTCTTTGAGATTTATGCTAGTAGTTCTAGTGTGTGTGTTATTAAATCTCCTTTTGTCTGTGAATCACACTCATCGAATTGAACGTGAAGGAGTGAGAGGGAGAGACAAAGAGCTGCGTTGTCATGTAGATGAACTAGGTTTGAGCAATTAGTGATTATATCCAAGACAAGTCTAGGGTTTCATTTTACATTTAATCCCATTTTTCATAAAATGTGGTTGTAGACCATCATTATGTTCTGACTTCTAAGGGCATATAACTAGGGGTGTAAACGAATCGAACACGAACGAACAAAGCTTGTGTTCGTGTTCGGTTCGTTTAAAATTTAGTTTGTTTGAAATAAGCTCGTGTTCGTTTCTTAACGAAAGAGCCGAACACGAACCAAACACGAGCTGTTCGCGAATGACGAGCCAGTTTGACATCCCTAATATTAATATATAAAAATAATATTATATATTAATTATATAACTTATATTATATAAATATACAATATCTATATTAGTATATTACTACTATAGTATATTAATATATTATTATTATTATTTTATTATATATTATAATTTATAAAATTTAATGTTTTAAAATATAATAAATTTTTTATATATAATTATTTTATATTATTTTATATTTCAAACAATAACGATTCGAACACGAACGAACGCATCACTGTTCGTGTTTGGTTCGTTTAACTAACCGAACGAAAAAAATTTGTTCGTGTTTGTCTCATTTACTTATCGAATGAATCGAACACGAACTCATTGACGAACCGAACACGAACTGTTCACGAACAACGAGTTTTTTTGACAGCCCTACATATAACTATCCCTTGGGTCACATCATGACTAAAGTCAATATCTTCAAGCAAATCACCTTTTAAAATCAATTGATTGTCTAGGGGAAGAATGAGGTCATTTGCCTTTCACGATCTCACCTTCTCACCTTAAACTTCATGTTCGGCTCTTTATCTTTGGTTATTCAAAAGTTTGTAGCAAACTTGAGTATTTAGTAATTTTGGACAATCTCCCTCATTCTCTTCATCTATCTTTATTTTTTTTAACGGACATCCTTTAATTCTTTATAAATTAAATATAAAAAATCATAAAAATGTCATAATATAAAAATAATAAATTTTAAATGCACAAGAATTCAACATCATGCATGAAAACTTTCATCTACTAAATAAGAACTCCAATATATAAATATAATTTTTATAAACTTTATATTCACATTATATATAAATTAAGTACTGATATGGATACATGTAAAAAATAAAAAATAAAAAAACGCGGCGCGAATCTCAACGTCACCCCTCTGCTTCTATAAATACGGGACTCATCCCTTCACTCCTCACACAAGCGCCGCTAGCCACTACTTTCTTTCTTATCTCCCCTCTTCTCTGAACTCCCCTGTTTTCCATAAACAACAGCCATGGTTGCCATCACCAATCTCCCCGCCGTCGAGCAACTCCCCATTACGAAGCTCCACCGCCCCATCGCCGGACACTTTGAAGTCTGCATCCCGGTCGTCGACCTCAGCTCTCCCGCTGCCGCGGCTCAGCTCGTCGCCGCTTGCGAGGAGTTCGGCTTCTTCAAGCTCATCAACCATAACATCTCCTCTGAACTCATGGATAAACTCGACGCGGAGGCAGTGAAGTTCTTTTCCCTTCCGATTTGGAAGAAAGTCGCCGCCGGGGGCGGCGCCGCCGCCGCTCCTTTCGGCTACGGGAGGCCGGAGAATGGG